CGCTCCAACGGCGGGAATCAGGGCCTAAGCCGGAAGTATCCACGGCCTCGGTGGAGCGGCTTGGGACATGGACTTGCCCACAGAGTAAGTTGGTTATTGGGAAATTTTGTGGTGACAGCGTCCAGAGGATGGAAATATTTCTTGGCAGGCGGCTCCCTGGGTAGGGCTGCAGCGAGTGGCCAGATAGAGCGTTACCGTGCACCATGAGCAGCAGAGGAGCAGCAAGTAGAGGAGAGCTCAGCCCCCGTCCCTACCCCCAGTTCAGCCAAAACGTCCGTGAAGGTTTTCACAGAAGCCTTTGGGGTGGCAGGGATGGGTCCCTGTTCCCAGGCCAGCTGAGCTGGGCCCCAGCACGGAGGGAGGGAAGTGGCAGGCTCGGCTCGCTGGGAGGAGCTGTGCTCTCTGCGGGTGCTGTGACCGGGCGCCCGATGCCCACCTCCAGGCGACCGCAGCTCCTGCAAACGCGGATAGATTCGAACCAGCTGGTGTGAGCCCTGGGGATCGCTTTGGTCGTAATGTCAGGCCTCACGACGGTGTCAGCACGGCCTCACGACTGTCTCAGATGACCACGTTTCTCCAGCTTTGTATAAAGTCATTTGTTTTCTCTGCCAAAGCAGAGCCTGATGGGTTTTTTTGACCATTGCAAGGAATTTGGGATCATTCTTTGTCCTGTGGATCAGGACCACTCCAACACGTAGCTTTATTTTTTAAACATCAGAGCTTTTGCTGATGCTGAGGTTGCTCCCGTTCCTCCTCCTTCCCACTCCTGCTTCCTCTTTTTGTGTCAGAAGGAGGTTTTTCATTTGAAAAAGAGGTGACCTCCCTACCATGGAGAAAGGCAGCCGGGCAGGACCCAGCTGGTGGCTGCTGCGTGTGAGCCATTGCTGTCTCCACGCTGGAAAGCTGCTCATGTCTCGGATGTGCTTTTGTTCCTCCCTGTCACCGGGCTCGATGGCGGCAGGAGCTCACCTTTCGGCGGGGTAGGCTTCATGCAGCTGCATTTGGTGTTTCCTCCCTTTGTCGCTGTGTGACCCTCCCCGCCCAGGAGGGTCCCGGGCGCGCGTCGCGCTGCCTCCAGATGTGCCCGGTCTGGGGAGCGGAGCGAGGGAAGAGACGCGACGCAGGGCAGGGCGCTCCTGGGGGTGTCCCAGCTGCAGAGAGGCGCCAGGAGGGGAGGCATCGGCTTCGGGACGTTTCCTCAAAGCAGAGTGCGTGGCCCTTGGATCTTTGTTTAGTCTTGGGGGGTCACTGTCGTGGGGCGATTTCTCAAGGAGAGCTGTTTATCTGGCACTAAGACAAACTCCCAGCCCTTCAGACTGAGATTTCTCATGCACATCCACCAAGGTAAACACCGGCAGCTGACAGGTTACAGATCCTCATCGAAGCCAGACACGTACAATAAATGTTTAAACTAGCGTGTGCTGCATGGGGCAGCTGCGGTGGGTCCTGCACCGATTCCTGCAGGAAGGTTACTGCGGGTTTCACTTGGAATCATAGAATCGCTTTGGTTGGAAAAGACCTGTAGGATCATCAAGTCTCCGGCGGCTCGTTACAGACACGGTGCGAGGAGCATTTTGCCCACCGCTGGTGCGTGGCTGTGCCGGGGTGGGAGGTGGCTGTGTAGCAGCCCCGGGAGTGGCGTCGGTCTCGAGGACGGCAAGGGGAGGGAGCTGCATCCAGCTGTGAGCACAGGAAGACTGTAAAGGAAAGGGACCTTTCTTCCCTGGGCCAGGAGAGGGCCTTGGACAAGATGCTGGGGCTAGGAGGGGTGCCAGGAGACCTCCAGCCTTGTGGGCCAGCAGGACTCGGGGTTTGCAGGCGTTTGAGCAGCAGTGGTTGCGGGTGCTGGTTTGAGGCAGCTCAGCAGCTCCTTCAAGAGCAGGGTGGCTCCGGGGCGGCAGCGTGCCTCGCTGTCTGCGCAGCCCTGGCTGGGGCTCGCCATGCGACGGTTGCATGGTGGGAGTGATGTGCACGTTCCTGTGCCCCCGACGAAGCGTTCGGCACTGTCTGTCCGCTGCTGCGGCCGCCCTGCCTGTGGGCAGAGGGGACCTGGCTCAGCGCGGCCAGAGGCACCTGGAGATTGGTTTCTCCTTTCATTATTTCAGCAGCATGCGGGAGCTGCCTCCTCTTCTCCACCCTAGCCTTCTCCTTGGAAGGAATCATAGAATGTTTCATAGAATCATAGAATGTTTTGGGTTGGAAGGGACCCCTGGAGGTCATCTAGTCCAACCCCCGAAGGAAGGAAGCACCAGCCAAGTGCCTCCAGGGAAGGGGGAATGTTTTTCACCCAGCGTCTCTGCGCGCAGCCCCCAGCATTGCGCCTGGTTTGCTGCGCAGTGACTTGCCACAGAGCAGTCCCTGTCCCTGCGGTACGCAGCAAGGTCCCCTTGCACCTCTGGCTGTGCGCGGGTGCCGGGGTGCCAGGGCTGAGAGCAGGCAGCAGAAGCATCGCCCATGGCTCGGAGTGGGGCTGCGGGGGCGCAGGGTGCCAGCGACTGGCGCGGGTATGCGTGGGCTAATTGCAGTTTGGATTTGGGTGCGGGTCCGGTGTGCTGGGGGCAGTGATGGATGCATGATGAAGTGCGAGATTGCCCTCCCGTGCCCCCGCCGCCGCCTCCCCCAGCCTCCCTGGGCTGCAGCCAGGGTTTGTTTCTTGTCAGGCAGGCTGGG